TGTCCCTGTGTACTTGAGCATGCGTCATCGTCATTCCTGTATTTCAGGAATGGGTCTTCTTGCGTCGGCCGTCATGAAATGTTCGCCGATGTGGACACACCGGGTTGCAATGCCAAGCACATTCCTCTTCCATCAGCTGGCATTGCCAAGGTAACGATTGAGTTGGTTTGCCTTTGTGGTCACGTGACAATGGATATTTTGAAGCGGCCTATTTGTAAGCAAATGAGTCAAAAACATTGGAACTAGGACTGCTTAAATTTCCCTTTTTTTTCAGGGATGGTTCAGTAAAAAACAATGTGCATATTCATGAATGTATCAAGACTTTTTCGCTTGACAACATTTGCAGATTTTAGTCACTCACGTCGTGAATGCAACAAATTTCTACGCCCGCCTCCTGGAGCATCGCAGCACCGAGGCCAGTAACCCCGTCGCTCTTCCGACGACCCACTTGGACCTGGCCTTCGAGATGGCCTCGTGGTTCAGTGACCCTGCCCACCGGGTGAGCTGCGATTCTCCCGTCGCCAGCGACCTGTGCGGCCTGGAGGACGGGTGCCATGTTTTCCACCGGGTCAGGGTTCAGAGGTCAAAGCGAGGAGGGAGTGCACTGTTTGAGGAGGAGAAGGAGGTGAGTTCGCTTTTGTTTAAATTTTGGAGAAAATAATTCTTGAGGATTTCCAGTTAAAGAATAAACCTGTTTGATTTTCCACTTGCCCACATCAGCATCCGGTGACATCTGAGGGATAAACACAGTTGACTATGATGCACAAGTCTGTTTGGAAAGCGGTTATAAGTTGCATTTTGTGTCAAGTGAAAAAGAGAAAAAATTTAGTTGGAAGACAAGTTATCCTCTTTCAACTGCATCTTCTCACAGTTTGGCACTTTCACCCACATTCTGCTCACCAAATACACTTTTAACAATTTTCTCAGGCATGGCCTTATTTCTGGAACATTTGTCATATGATAGGTTCAGTTTGTAGATCAGGGAAGAATTGAGCGGGTACCAGTCAACAAGTTGTTGAAGCTGCCTGATCATCTGCACTCTAAACCGTACCAGGTAGGAAAATTGTGTGCAAAATCTGCCAATTTGAAGGGGATAAATTCCATAATTTGTCTGGTGCTGAGCACATTTCTGTTCTGGAAAATAGTTACCATGGAAATTTGAGGACATCAGACACTTTCACCTCTGCAGTTGCTGTATGTATCAACTTTTTTTGGTCTATAATCCTGGACAAAATAGTTGGAATACCTTGTGGGAAAAGCCCTCTCCCCCATGCAATGTTGCGGTCATTTATTGGACCAAGTGTCACAGAGTGATATTAAATCAGAATTACTCTTAAATTAATACCGTATTATCTTGGCCCTAATTGTTGAAAAGATAAACGTGGTATTTAGTGGTGAAACAAGAATTTTATTTTCCTGAGCCGCCACACCCAAACATTCCTGAAGTCAGTCAACCTTACCAGAATGATGGGCTGAGTGCCAGTTGAGTTGTTATTGGTAGATGTAGCCACTTATGCATTAATTTGAATAATGAATATTTATGAAGGTTGGTACACAAAACTTTCTGAGTTCTTTGGAATAAGGCGTAGCAGTGCTGTAATTTTTCCTTCGGGTTCAAAAAAAGATATGGGTTGGTGTGATCAGTTCATTGCTGGACTCCAAGAAGAGGGCAGCTGCCAGCCTCAATGACTTGTAGTCGTGAGTCGATGAGTTAGTCTTGAGTGACTTCTAATTATGGAAGTAGAATAAACTACATGTACGTGCAGACTGTTCTGAGAAACGGAAAGCCGGGAAACGGCCAGTTCCTGGTTGAACATTAAGAGGAAGAGGGAGTCGGTTGACGGTGGTGACAGAAGGGTTGGACCGCGGCGGCAGGACACAGAAACTTACCGAGTCAGCCACAGACCACAGAAGCCGAATACAACGCAAGAAACAGAAGCAACATGGTGGCAGGACATTGAGGCGCTCATCACCTCATTTATATTGTAATAAAAAATGTCAGTGTAAGAAATTATCCTTATTTTGTGTTCTTTTATAAATAAATGTAAATGTTGTACAGGCAAAACAAATTTCCAGCAACAGGTGTGTATATATTTGTGTCTAAGCTACCAAAGGTCTGTCCCTAAGGGTAGGATAACTCTAGGGGTGTGACACCAAGATTAAGCCCAGCTCACCCATTGAGAAACAACATTGATAGGGGGCAGAGGGGAGGCATGTTCTGACGAGATTTGTCCAGGATTGTAGTCTTTGGAATAACTTGTTGGGTTTTTGGGTGGCATTTGTCAAATGGCAGTGCCGCTCGTACGTGATCAGACCTGATATAAGTCGAAAGTTAAAAGTCAAAGAAAATTACTACAATGTCTTCTGTACTACTTCAGGCTGTTGAGATCTACGTGTGTCGAGTCAAGCCGGTAGATGGTGACACTGAGTGGACGACGCAGGTATATAAGAGGGGCTTGTTATTAAGCCCCGCCCCTATCCCCTCCCCATCACTTCTTTAGTTTGCATCAACATCTCCCCAGGAATCCTTTGCTAATTGACGAGCACATTGGGAGTAAGATTTGTTTCAGAACGTCTCAAACTCACAAGAGAACTGCTACATGGTGCTACCGCAAGCTTACTCCTGATGGACAGTGGGAGTGTGGTTATCATAGCAGAGCTTTATTTGCCTACCACCCTTAATAGCGCTCAGTTCTCTCCCGTGGCAACAGGAGAATTAATAGCTTTTTAGTCCACTGCATTCTCTGTTTTTGTTGTTGTTTTGTCCCTGAGAGTACGACTCAAATGCCAGATTTCTTTATTCATATTTGACAAAGACACACCTGTTTTCACAGAGCTTTGCTGGGTTA